TATGTTGATGAATAAAATCTAATTTATGATCAAAATAATCTTGAGCATAACGTTGTAAATAATCAATTTCAGCTCCACGTCTTTCATCTCGATTTATTAAAACTCTATTTAAATGTGTTAAATAAGGTAAACGAGCTATAATCATTTGTTTAGATGTTTCATTTTCAAATTGATTTGTTCCATATATTGGATTTCTAAGAATACTTAATGATATTAATGATGATATACGACTTAATTCATTTATTGATGAATATGAATCAATTTTATTATCAGATATATATAAATATTTTAATGATGGAAATAATTCATTTCAGATATCTTATATTAGAATTAGATTGGTTGTATACCACAATTATTAATAGTTAATTCTTGAATCGATGTAAACAAATCTAATCGATAAATAAGTCGATGCTTATGTATTAATCTGGGTTATCTGATACTAATAAATTAGTCAAATTATTAATTTGATTAACAAACTTTGATGATATAAAGACTAAATGATTTAAATCTACAGTGATATGAATTAAATTAGAAAAGTATTTAAAAATATTTTTGAAATGAATCGCAATCATTATTGGTATCAATAAGAACTATTGGTTTTATATAAATGTGTTCATACGATGAATTTAAATCGAAATTCATTCGAGAAAACTACTAACATTTAAAAATTTACAAATTGGGAAAATTATTTTCTAATATTAATCATAGCTGAGACTGATTTTTTATTAAATTTTCATGAATATTTATTTCCTTTTTTTGACGAAGATTATCATATAAACGGTTACCACAGGCAAAGCATTATTATTAAATGAATTGTTTACATAGTGCATAAGTGGTTCGTCACATATGTATTTTCATGATGTAGAGGCGGTATCGTCGCGTCACTGTATGACGGGCGGCAGAGTTTCTAATGGCAAGTGTACACAGCGGAAGCAAAATGTACAAACATCTGCAGCTATGAAAATACACGCTGTTGTACACTTTACTTAAAAAAGCAGCGTGCACATTATTCTGGAAAATTTTATAAAATATCTTTGTTCATACTAGAAGTTTTTCTTTTTTTTTTTGCTCTTTCGCTTCACTTCGGTCATGTAAATGTCTGTGTACATTTTGCTGTACACTTTGCTTATCCAAAACAGCGTGTACTGTACATTTTGTTTTAGAATTCCATTAGAAACACTGACGGGCGGTACGAATACATTGTATGTGTATTATCTCTTCTATAAATGTACAATGAAAAACAAAGACATTACATTCACCATCGCGTCTTTATTTGCTGCCTATAAGAAGGCTATCCTTCTTGATTTTTCTAATATCAGTTAAATATGTGTTTTACACAGGTTAAGTACTAAATAATTTCTATTTCATTTCAGAAAGAGACACGAATTTAGTTGCATTACACGATCACGTCATTGACTTCTAGTCGTCAACGAGATGAGTGGTAGTAAACGGCAGCCACTTAAAGCTGGCAAGGAAGTAAATATATCCTTTAACTTTCGAAGATTTGCTTTTAATTTAAAATTTTTTGTAGAATCAAAATGTTCCTGTTGAAACAGCAGAACAACGTATTGAACGGCTTGAGGCATTGATCGTTTTACAGGCTGCGACAATTAGTCATTTACAAGATGAGAACCAGCAGCTTGTGCGTTCAAACAATGAATATCGGAAAATGACCTATGAAAATGAAAAAACAATCAACAAGTTGAAGAACGATGTAAAACAGTTAAAAGATGAACTTACTGGTGAAAATGAAAACAGTGGTGATGATACACACTAAAATAAAATGTGTCGCACTAATGTGTCGTTCACGATAGTGTCGCACACACCACTACAAAAATGTGTTGCAGTCAGAATGTGTCGTATTATAGATGTGTCGTGATCTGTCCGCTAATCATTCATTCACCGTTTTGTTTCGCGTGCACAGCTATATATAACCGACACAGTTGAACAGACTAAACTTACACATTTTTGTATGCCTTTTCTTCTAGATTATTTCTCGAATAGTCATTATTCGAGCACATGTTCAGAGATCGATAGATGATCCAGAATGGACTGCCTGGAAGCGGTCTGATCGAGATCAAATCGACTCGAGACGAAGAGATCTTAAGATCTACCCGTCTTGAATTGTACGAATAAGTATTACTAATTTATTTTAAGCTGAAAAACAGAATTATTCGCTTCTGTAAAACAAAAAAAAAGGAAAAAGCGATGAAGAATAGATTCGAACCCACGTGGTCAAAATGTGTCGCATGTGGCGCACTTTTATGTGTCGTGCGCTTGCTGGAAGAAATGTGTCGCAACGAGCTCCTCGTGTCGCACTTGAATGTGTCGTACATTGTGTCGCAAAGTACGACACATGCGACACATTTTATCTTAGTGTGTAGTGGCTCTTCAAGTTCACCAACACTTATAAAAAGATAGGTTGTTTCAAAGTTAATGAAATGAAACGTTTGTTTGTATTTATGTGTATCTTTTGTGTTGTAGTTTATACGAGAACCATGTGTTCTAGTTCTTAATGTTCTTTCTTGTTTTTTGTGCTTATTCTTCATTCTTATTTATTGTTTTCATACTAATGTGAAAAGAACATTTGTAAGAAATAAAAAGAAATAATTAGGAATGAATCTATTATTGATAAAAATGAAAAAAGTTCCACTACTGTTTGATTACTTAGATTGTAGAAATCGTTGTCTAACATGCTCAGATTGTCAGCGAAATCCATGA